CTCTCTGTCCCCCTATCCAAGCCCCCACCACACGGAGGCACCGAGACCCTTCTGTCTCTGTGCTGACTTTGGTTTAAGTCCCTGGATGTAATGCGGCGCCTGGGGGGCTCACTTGGTTAAGTGTCCAACTCTGGTTTTGGCTCAGGTTGTGATCTCTGGGTCCTGGGATGGAGCCCCATGTTGGGCTCTGTGCTCAGCATGGAGTCTGCTTGGGACTGTCCCTCTGCCTCTGCCCCTGCCCCTCACCCACCCAGACCACCACCTCCCCACCTGCTCTTTCTCCAAAATAAATCTTTAAAAAACAAACAAAGGCTCCTGGTGGTCAGTACCAGGCTGGCCCACTTGTCACTGCTCCTTGGCTGCAGCCCCAGCCACACTGAGCCAGCACATCCCCAAGCGCGCAGGCATGTTGTTCGTCCGACTGGGCTGCGTCAGTCCTCCAGCCCTTACCTCACGACCACATCCACCATCACCCCTGGCCTCCACCGCCTTGGGTGCCAGGACCTGTGGGAACCATGCCCACACTGCATCTCCTGTCATCCCACAAAATGCCTGTGCGGCAGGGGGTTTAATCCCCATCATTTTACAGATGAGTTAACTGAGGCTGGGGGCTCAGATCCTTTGGAAACTCTGGCCAACTCCGACCCCTATCTGATTTGAGGCTGGAACTCTGCCCTCGGTCAGACTTTGCTCTCCATGTCGGCTCCCCGGCCACCTCCTGTGAAGCCCTCCTGATTTCCCCAGGCCAGGACTGCCCACCTGCCTGGAGCCTTTCCTCCTGCACCCTGCACCCTCTGGCCGTGTGTGGCCTTCATGCGGAGAGTGGATCGCCCTCTTCTCCAACACTAGGTGTATGTAGCCTGAGCCGGGTGTGGGCATGGTGGGCAGCCGGCGCTGCCCCCTGATGCGATGGCCTCTCCACACTGGGTGGGGTGACGGGCTGAGAAGAGAAATGAGATCCGTCGGCTTGTTTTGACAGTCAGGGCTGTTTAGTAGGAGAGCTGTTTTTAATAAGGAAACCCTGGTGCTTCAAGGTCTCCCAGCCAATTAGCAGGCGGCACCCAGGTGACTCTCTCAATAATTAAACGGGCCTGTCAGGTCCTCCAGGCTGCACTTCTTTTTTTTTTTCCTTAAAGATTTTATTTATTCATTCATGAGAGACAGAGGCAGAGACACAGACAGAGGGAGAAGCAGGCTCCATGCAGGGAACCCAATGTGGGACTCAATCCTGGGACTCCAGGATCACGCCCCTGGTGGAAGGCAGGCACTAAACCGCTGAGCCACCCAGGGATCCCCCCCAGGCTGCACTTCTTGTTGGGCCTTTCAAGTTTGTGGGGCTGCGGGTACCCTGGCCAGCTGGTGCCAAAGGGGGTGTTGCCCCCTGCCCTGTCCACTGCGCCCCCTCCATGCTGGCCACTTCCTTCCCACCAGCCCCTGGGCTCACCTGGGCTCACCTGGGGAGATGAAGCTGACCCTGATGGCGACCTGGTGCCAGGCCCTCCCACAGCCCCACTGCACCCCATTCTGAGGCCAGTTTCAGAATAGGAAACTGAGGCCTGGCCAGAGACGTGAGCTGCCCACAGGGTAGGGCCAGTGCTGGACATGGAAGCACTTTGGTCTCCCACATTTGGGACTAGGTGGCCAGCACTGAAGTTCCCATGTTCCGGGACATTCCCTGGTCCCAGGCATACTGGATGGCGGTCGTCCCCTGCAGGCAGTGCCGGGTGCTTAGGTACCCCCCAGGCCTGTGGGGCCCAGTCTGCTTGCTGGGGGCCTTGGGCTGGCCTCACCCTCCAGCATGGGAACCCAGAGTGCTGGCCCTCACCTGTCCCTGGAGCACACCAGGGCGGCCAGGGAGGACCAGAAACACTCGCGACCCTGCAGGTGGACATGGGCTTCAGAGGTCACTTGCATGGAGCATTCTATTCTGTGAGTCGGAATTTGCTTTCTTCTTGAATCCTTGAGGTGAAGGATGAAGTCGGATGTGTCTCAGACCTTCCTGGATCCCATTCATCTGAAGGCCTGCAGAATGTAGGAGAATGAACGCTGAAGCGTAGGTCACGGGATGGTGCTGGGTGATCCTGAATACCCATGTCAGGGCCAAGCCCTGACCAGGAAGCGTTCTCACCTTCCGGAGTGTGGACTTCTGTGTCTGGGGGACACTCCTTGAGGCATCGAGTCTGGGGTGGGTTGGAGGACCCAGTGATGGTGCCGACCCTGTGGTCCCCTGTCTCCAGGAGTCGGCACCCGGAGCTGTTGTTCAAGAAGCTGTGGGGACCTCGGGGACAGCCTGTGTCTGCACTCTGGACCAGTCAGGGGCTCTGGGGGTGGGCCACTCAGAGGGATGGAGGGCGACCCAGCTGTCATGTGGGGGAGACTCGCTGGGTAGAAGGACTCAGAGGTGCACTGTGTTACCTTGTTTCAGCTCAAGTGACTACTGATATTCTACAGTTGGGGAAACTGAGGTGGGGGGGGAGCGTGCCCTGCTCAGTGCCACATGGTGAGGCTGGATTCCAACCTGGATCTCAGTTGTTCACTCTCCTCACAAGGCCTCCTGTAAAATGAAGGTGACAGAGGTCGTGGGGTCTCTGTTTTGGCTTCTGGCCAGTACTCGATTTCCAGAGTGTGGGGGGATCGAGCCGGGGCGGAAAGAGGGGGCAGTTCCAGCTACTGGATGCTGAGGTTGTCCTGGTGGGGGAGGGGAGACTGAGGGGGCTCCTGGGGAGCAGCGGCATGACCCGCACTCACTGCCCCCGGGAGGAGGGGTGCTGGGGAGCTGGGCGGGGAGAGTGGACACAGCCTGACGCTGTTCTGCTTCCGGCCCTGGCGTCCCTGTCGTTCCCGAGGTGGTCCGAGTGGGAAAGTTGGCTTCCCAGAAGCTGGGGACAAGGAAGTGCATGCTCAGGAAGGGTCTGATGGGACAGGAGGAGCCCATCCTGCTGCGAGGGAGGCCCAGGGGACCCGCTCTGGGGTTTAACCCGCGGTCATTTCTGCGCAGACTGTTCTGTGGGGCTTCCTTCTTGTCCTCTCCTCCTAAAGAGCAGGTGGTTGACATTGTTCAGGTCAGGATGTCTTGTTGGGGTGGGGGGAGGGAAGGGAGGAGGACAGGGGAGTGGGAGGTAGGTGCTGGGGGGGTAGATGCAGCACGGGGTGGGGGGATAGGGGTAGGTGCTGGAGGCAGATATGGGGGGCGGGGGATGAGGGTAGGTGCTGGGGGTCCAAGGGGGTAAATGCAGCATGGGGTAGGGGATAGGGGTAGGTGCTGGGGGCAGATATGGGGGTGGGGGATGGGGGTAGGTGCTGGGAGCAGATACGGGGGGCAGGGGTTAGGGGAGGTGCAGGGGAGTAGATGCAGCAAGGGTGGGGGGCTGGGGGTAGATGCAGGGGGATGGGGGTGTGGATGGTCAGCCAGTCCTGGCCACAGCGTGACCACAGTCACCCTTGATCTAGGTCCTCTCTGGCTTTAAGGTAAAGTGGGAACGTTGCCCCGTGCGGTGCCCTCTGTGCACACTGGGGACCCGGTGTCAAACTGGGTGACTTGAATACCTCTATGTGGTTGCTCAGAAGCTCTCCTTGAAGATGCTTTCCTGGCTCTGCTTTGGGGCTGATGTGTATTGTTTTGGGAGAAGGCGGAAAAACTGCTTGAGACTGTCTGACGTCCATCTGTCTGTCTGCCCATCCACCCTGCAGCCCACCCGATGTCCTAGCTTCTCTTCCCCTCCTCCCCCCACGTCTCATTCCTGGTCCATCAGCCCACAAATCAGGCCATGTCCCTCCTGTCCTCCCAGACAGCCATCCATCTGTCATCCACCCATTTGTCTGTCTGTCCGTGCCTTTCTGGTGCCAGGCTCCGTGCTGGGCGAACATAGCCCCAGGCTGAGCACATTATCAGATCTTCCCATGTGGCTGGGGATTAACTAAATCTTGGGGGCAGCTAGGTCTTGGGGGCCAGGGTGGGGCAGGGGACCAGGGGCAGTGTGGATGGGCCATGGCACCCCACATTTCTGTATCATCTTGGGGTCAGTCCCCCACAGCCAGGGGGTGCCCTCCCCCCACTCTGGCTCCTGCCATCTGACATCATCTGTCTTGGGCTGTGACAAAAATGAACTGGGCTCACAGTTCCATTCTCCAGGGGGCTCATCCCCCTGGAGAGGGATTGTCAGGATAAAAGCACATTCTGAGCCACCCAGGTGGACACTGGTCTGAGGACACTGAGGGCTATGTCCCCCTGAGCCCAGCAGGGGAGCTTCCTGACCCATCACCCCCCTTCTGTCCTAGATGCACTTTGGGACTGACAGCATTGGCAGGGACCCTGGGCATGCCCGAATACGGAACCATGGGATTGGAAAATAAAGATCCTTGAGTCCAGGGAAGCCGGCTGCTCAGTCTCAATACAATGTGAACGTGAGAGGCCCTGACAAGGCCTGCAAGGAGAAGTGCTTCCGCCTGACCTGAGTGCCCCTTGCCCTGTCCTGCTGCCCAAGCTGCACCCCCGTCACCCCTAGGAACTCTGTCCCTCGCCCCTCTGCAGGTGTCCACCGTGTATGAAATCAGCCTTAGGATTGGACAGAGCGAAGATCACTTGTCCTTGTCAGGAGTGGTTTTGTTGGGAGGCAGATGCAGGTTCAGGGGCCAGAGAGGAGGTGGTGTGGGACAGATGGCAGGAGAGATGTGGATGCTCTCAGGCACAGGCTGAGGGAGAGGAATGTGGCAGGGGCTGGGGGGCCCCCTGAAGTGCAGAGGCAGGACTATCACACTGGTGAAAGCTTCCTGCTGTGCCTGGCCCAGTTCCCTCGTGGGCAGCAGGGCCGGGGTCGGGTGGTGGTGCCTACGGAGGTGACCTCCAGTGTCCCAAGGCTAAGCTGGGCCACCCTCACCCTGGACGCTTTACCTGCTGGTTCTGCCGTGCGGGCAGCTTACACGAGACAGGCGGAAGCTGGCAATTGTACGGCCCTGGGGCACTGAGGAGACCTGCTCACGCGACTGTCCTCTCTCCACAGGCCCTTTCCCTCGGAGGAGACCGCCGAGAATGACGACGATGTCTACCGCAGCCTGGAGGAACTGGCAGAGTAAGGAAGCGATGGGACCCGGGTGGAGACGGGGACAGGGATGGGGAAGGGGGATGGGAGAGTTGTGGCCCCACTGCGGGTACAGCCACCCTGCCGTCCTGCCTGGGGCCTCTCCATGGTTGGTGGTGGCGCGGGCTCCGCCAGGCCCGACAGAAAGAGACAGAGAACTCAAATGGACAAGCCTCCCTTTATGTTCTGGAAGGTTCTCCAGCTTTTGCTGGGGCGGGGAGAGCTGGGGTTTCCAGAAGCCAGGCCCCTGGAGTGTGGGCCACAAGCAGAGGTGGTCTGTGGATTCCGGGCTATCTCATGGCCCGAGGGGGCAGGCGAGGGGCCGAGACCAGGCCGCCCAAAGCCACAGCGGGCATCTCCTGCCTTCTCCGTGGCCCTAGACTGGCATCGCTCTGTCTCTGAGGACTCTGCCGTTCCGTCCTCACACTCCCAGGCTCAGAGCCCCCAGGAACCCATGAGAAGCCTGGGGCAGTGGCTCTTCCTGAAGGGGCAGGTCTGGACCTGTGGGGTCCGCTGTGGCCTGGGGTAAGATCACCCAGCTGCTGCTCAGAGAAGGACCCGGGCAGCTTCCCTGAGGAGGGGTGGAAGGGTGGAGGAGGCAGGGTGCCCCCTTCCTGCAGGTGAGGAGGCCCGAGAAGCAACGAGCTTGGCCAGGGCCTGGGGTCAGGTGGCTCCTGACCTGGCCCCCCCACCTGTCCCAGCTTCCTGCTGCCTGGACCCCTCATTCCTGTTTGACGGCAGACACAGCTTTGCTGCAGTGAGATGGCTGCTGCTCCCAGGAGGGCTTCCCCGGCCCTCTCCTCTTCACCTTGCAGCACAGATCAGGAGTGGGACCCAGTAAGAGGTGGGAGCTGGGGTACAGACTGGACACCAGGCTGTGGCAGGGAGCCAGCAGTGACATTTCCAGGGGAGCCGGCTGATTCTTTGCCTTCGGCCCTTGACCAGATGTCTGAAGCAATGATCAACTTGTGCTTCTGAAGGGTCTTGCCAGCAGCTGCCCGGACCTCGGATGCTTAGTGGCTGTTGGAGGCTGTTGGACATGGGGCTACCTGGCAGGGAAGCTGGTGTGTCCTCGGGGCCCCGGTGAGGGATGGCCATGTGCACGTGGTGCCGTGGACACTGCGATCCGGTCAGTTGTGCATCTGTTCCATGGCCGACTCAGCACTGAGCACCTTCTGTGCGTTGGCTCAGGGTCAGGAACTGGGAACGTCAGGGAGAGTGAGGCCCACCTGCCGCCTCCTAGGACCCCAGGAGCATGGGATCATGTGGGTCTCCCATGAGGGGCCCTTTTGGACCAACTTCAGAGAGATGGTTCTTACTGCGGGCATCCAGAGCCTTCACTGTCCCCGGTGTCCCCAGCTGGCTACTGAGAGCCCTGCAGCCTCAGCCCACAGGACGCGGCTCCACAGTGTACGACCCCTTCTGGGCCACCAAGAGCAGGTGTGTCGGCCGCGCAGGAGAATCCGCCCATTCTGCTGCCGCCTCGTCTTGTGTCCCACGCAGCACAGCTGTCCTGTCGGATGTACTGGGAGCCTGGGACGTGTCACCTCCTACTTTCATGGTCTTTGGCATGTTATACCACCTCTGCCTTGGTTTCCCTATGCATAACACTGCTTCGGGAAGACCATCAGTGATATCATCGGGGGCATAGTGCCCACTGGACGCTCCATGAGCCCTCGGGCGAGGATGGTGGTTCCCCTCCGCCTGTTTCACCAAGGTCATGGCTTTCTACCCAGTTCCCAAAGGGCTGTGGCAGTGCTGTCCAGGAGAACTAGAGCGCAAGCCACATGTGCAGTTGTAGATTTTCTAGTAGAAACAGAAGTAGGAGAAACTAGTTATATAATGTGTTTTTATTTAACCGAAAATTATATGCAAATTATTATATTATGTTATATCCAGAATATTGCCTGGTTCTGTGTGTAAGCCAGCATGACCCGTCATTAACTCAGCGGCTTGCCTTCTCTGTGGCACAAAGTCTGGTCTGGTGCATGTTTGATGCTGACAGCACAGCTCAGGGACGCCTGGGCAGCTCAGCGGTTGAGCGTCTGCCTTCAGTTCAGGGCGTGATCCCGGGGTCCTGGGATTGAGTCCCACAGCAGGCTCCCTGCAGGGAGCCTGCTTCTCCCTCTGCCTGTGTCTCTGCCTCTCTCTCTCTCATGAATAATTAAACAAAAAAATCTTAAAAATTTTTTTTAGTTTGATGGGCACAGCTTAGTTTACCTGGCCACACTCACGTTTGTGAGCTCACAGCCACACGTGGCTGGTGGCACCAGTGTGGGCAGCATGGGTCTCGGATCCAGGACGTGGTTCTAGGAGCTCATGGGGGAGCCCTTCCCACGTTTGAATGGATGTTGCTGGATTAACATTATGTTCTCAAGTGCTCTAAGCTCACTTTGGAGATCACTGAATAATGTATAATCAAATAATAGAGCAGCTGGTTGAAAAAATTAACACGAGATATTGCCACTTAAATGGCCTATTTCAAGCTCCCGGGGCACTGTCACTGACCGCGGAGCTGGGAGGAGAAGCATTTGGCTCTCTCTCACCAGCCCCCTCTGTGTGTGTCTGCAGCAGTGTTGGGGGTCGTGCTCTGGGGGCGGTCTTCTCCTGGCATTTGGACACAGCACCTTTGGGATTTGGAGCCTACACATTTCCTTTGCTTTGCAATCAGGAGCATATGGAGGGGGTTCTTGCCGCAAATTAGGACAGGGGGCTTTGCAGGGGTCATAGTTTCAGGGCACCCCAGCTCTGCTCAGCCACCCCTGCTGGGGGTAGGAGTCAGGGATAGGTGGCAGGCCGTGAAGGGCAGAGCTGTATGGCAGGTGCCTGGTCCCCAGCTGTGAGGGGAGGCCGCGATGCCCCCACACATGGAGGCTCCTGTCTTGGGGGGTGGCCTGGAGCTCGTGGGACAAGAGCTCAGAGAGACCACAGGCATGTGGCCTCAGGCTGCTTCTCTGCTGTACATGCACCTGAATGACCCTGGGGCTTCATGATCTGGGCTCTGGCTTCGCTCCTAACATTTCTCAAGGGGCCTCAATTGTCCGGGTGACACAATGCCACTCACTCCAGGCACGCAGGCAAGTGCCTGCTTATTCAAGGCTGAGCAGCAGAAAAGGCGATGTTCTATCCTCCTCGGGGCACCGCCAGGTCCTTCATGGGGCCCGTGTCCCTGCCTCTGAAATGAAAGCAGTAGCCGGTGGCATGTGGGTCCCTTCAAGCTTGAAGGATCCACAGCTTTATGATTGAGAAGCCTGCTGCTTACGTCTCCTGTCACTTCCCCGGGAGTCGGAGTGATTTTCGGGCTTAAACAAATGTGATTGTGGCACGGCAGGGGATATAATTTATCCATAAATGTATAGCTGCATGCTTTATTGAATCATAAAATGACTTCACAGCTTTAAATGTGTCATGTTAGAGTCGTTGGGATAATTTTTTCAGATGCATAAAATGTAGAGGGAGTGTCCCAAGTCGACGCTCCTTCAAGGGCACGAGGATGTCTTCTTGCAGCAATATGGGGGGGGGTCTTTCTTGTCCCTGGGGAGGGAGGCGGGGTACACAGGGGCAGAGGGGTGGCCTACTATGGGGTCCCCACAGGCAGGGAATGGGGAACAATGGCCGCACTCGCCTGGGACCCTCATCCAAGGGACAGCCTATCCCCACCCTGCCGTCCTTGCCCATCTGTCTCTCCCAGCCTCAAAGAAAGCTTGTTCAAAAACTGTCCCCGATTTCAGAGATGTTCCAACCACTCATGTGAAGGTTCAGTGTTTCGCACACACCTGCATGTGTGGGGCCGTTCATGTTGGGTTGGGAGGGTTGGCTTTGGGACGTCTGCTGTTCGCCCCCAAGGATTGCTTTTCCAAAGGGAACAAGTTTGGAATCAGATGATGCAGAAACAAACAATAGCCTGTAACCATGTCGGGCGGGCAGCCCCTCCTCAGCCCCCCTAGAGGATACCACCAGCCCTGCAGCCTGAAGAAGGTGAAAGGAAAGCCCCCCCAGAGAGGAGGCATCAGTGGATGCCCTCCTTGGCCAGCCTGGGAGGCCGCTGTCCTTAGGCCCATGGCAGGAGGGGTCTGGTGGAGGAGGGCTGTAGCGGGTGCAGGTGTGGGGAGCCCTGTGTGCGTGCAGCTGTCCCCTTGCTCTGTGGTCTCATGGCTCGAGGGCCCTGGCTCTGGGCTGTGAAAGTGGTGACAGCCAGGCACAGCCCTCTAGGAAGGGCCAGCTTCCCTGCGGCTGAGCTGCTCATCTGGTCCTCCAGGCTCCATTTGTACAGCAAGCAGGGTGGCCAAATTCCTTCCAGTCCTGTGCAGTCCCCAGCTGGGGTGTCCTTGGCAGCACATGGTGCCCCAAACCCCGTGGATGGTTTTTCCATCCTCATGTGGGCCCTGGGAGGTGCAGCCTGGACGTGGGGACCCGCCGGACGGAGGGCCTGAAGCCAGCCCTGTCGAGCACACATGCTTGTTCCCACGAGGAACCCTGCAGGTGGGTCCCGGGCCCCACCTTTGGACTGGAGACGGGCTCCGAGAGGCTGGGGTGCCTGCACACAGCCACAAAGGGGTGGAGCTTTGATCTGAACTGGGTCTGTGTGAGTCAGCAGGCCACCTGCCCTGGACCCCCTATCCAGGGGGGGCATCCACAGGGGTCAGACCCTGACAGACCAGGAGACTGGGAGGGCTTCCGGGAGATGTTGCTGCAAATGCACTTTGCAGGAGCATAAGATTTGCCAAAGTGTGATTTAGAGGAACTTTCCCTCACCCTGTCTGGACTGGTTACTGCCTTATTTTGGGCCAGGGTCCCAGGAGAGTCTGGCTCTCAGCTGTGCCTCTGTTGGGAATTCGGGGCAGGCAAGCACTGGAGCCTGGCCTCTCTCTCCTGTCCCTGTGATCCGGACAAGCTGCCTGATGGCCCCTGGCCTTGCAGAGCTGGCTGCAGGACAGGCCGGGCCTAAGGCAGTCTGTCTAAACCCTGCCCTGGTACCCGGGCCCCTGCTA